ACTGAGGACACTCCCTGACGCACTCCTAACCTTTGATTGTTCTATTTTTGCATTCAAATGCAAATGTTTATTTTAAATTCGACTAATATTCATTCTTTACTCACAATCTCCTCATCACAGGCAGCACAGCACTCATGTTCGTGTTTGTGTGTGCTGTGTGTGTCACTCAGAGCATGTGCCTATATCAAATATTTTTTATATCGTTATCGAAGAAGGTGTACCGTCGATAAATATCAATACCGTTTTATCGCCCAGGCCTAACGCTTCGTTTCATTAACAGTCATATACAGGTGCATGAGGAATAACACAGATCCTGCTCTTATCTGTCTGTTGAGGTAATAAACAGGCTTTTGTGAGTGGAGCGATGCTGGATTTAACACTGCAAACATGATCATCTTCAGAAAATAATCACAGCCACATAAAATAATCATCACATAGAATAGTTTTGCTTGACGTTAAAGCAGTCTAATCAGCTCACCAGATCTTGTTATTGCAGGGATTCAGCATGTACATGTCCATGTTCTCCATCAGAATAGCTGAAGTGCTCTGGAAAATAGAAATACAGCACGATTCATCATGCTTTCAGATGCTTAATCGATTCTCTTATACACCTGATTTAGACAAAAACTTACATAAGACATGAATAATATTCTAATGAAAAACACTACAATGTGTAATTTTGCTTTGGTATCCAGTCCCTGTCTCACAGTAACTCAGTGACAAACACAGACGGGATCAGACATGCTGATGAACCTTGGCCTCGGGGTTGGAGGACAGGATCTTGGCTCCACACTCCACGGAGGCGTAGTTGGTGATGGTCTGCTGCAGCTTCTTCCCCGCAGCGAGAGGGCCGTCAGAAAGGTGTGTGATCTGATCTGATGGACAAACACTGTCAGCGAGAGCAGGACCGGTGCTAAAGCTCCTGTCACAACAGAACTCACTCTTCTCGTTCTCCACCTCCAGCATGATCTTGGTCCACTCCTCGAAGGTGGGGATCTCCTGCTCTCTGCAGGGCACAGACGGGTCGCTGTCTGCGGAGCCGCTGGAGCCCTGCACAGGTCAGTCGACAGAATCAGATCATGTCCAGTACTGTCATTTCATACAGATTACATTTCTAATGACACAGTGTAGACTAGAAGGAAATATGCGGTCTTTTGGTATACATTTCCATCAGTTTTTAAGATTAATTTTTCATGACTTTTGCAGGTCTTTCACTGACAATAGAGGCGGTTGAAATAATGCCATAATGCAAATACATCTACTCATCTACTGCGGTCATGTGCGCAGCTGTGAGTCTCACAGGAAACACCACCTGATCTTTCAGGATGTGGGAAGCGTTGGTCCTGTTCCCGGTTTGGTCTTTAGTGGGTTTTCTCGACTCATGGACACCGACGCTCTCTTGAACCGCTGGAAAACTTTCATGACAGACAGACACAGATGATGAAAGCCTCAGACTGAGAAGGAATCAACTTGTCAATTCTGATTCTTTCAGATGAAAAGACAAAACCGATTCTTTACACTCGTCTCATGCATTGATCAGACGTTCTCAGAGCTGTTTAACTGAAATTCCTTACCTGCTGAGCTGAGGGTCGTAGCGCAGGTTTTCTGCAGCGTCGCATGCAGCTGTACACGCATCTGTGGTGCCGCTTTCAGCAGAGCAGGAGTCTGAAGCTGTGCAATCCCTGAACACACACACACCACACGCCACGTCAGTCCATCACTCACACACACGAGCACGTATCATCACGTGTAGCATGTTCACGTGTCACTATTCATGTCAAACTCGTCTGCTGTCCATCATAGAGTTCACGGATTAAACTGACACAAACGTCTGCAAAGAATCTAATTAACCCAATCACAGCCGCAGAACCAGTTTAACCAGTCTGACCCGCGTCACATCAGTCACTGTGGAGAAATGAATGGAGAGGTTTCTCTGTCCTGCTGATCCTACTAACATCACCTGTAAAATCACTACTGTCTCAGCAACAGACTTTACTTTGCAGAATTAATTAAAAGAAAAATCTCTGATCACAAGCACGAGTCTCTATGTACAATAACCAGTCAATACCACAGCCTTGATCTGCTGGAGCCCGTCTGCTAGAGCAGTGAATACACTCATTCACCAGCAGACCAGAACACACACACACACACACACACACGCACTAGGACACACACACACACACACACACACACACACACACACTCGTCTGGTTTGTTATCCTTGTAGGGACTCTCCATAGGCGTAATGGTTTTTATACTGTACAGACCGTATTTTCTATTGTCCTACACCAACCCTACCCCTAAATCTACCCCTTACAGGAAACTTTATGCATTTTTAGATTTTCAAATAACTTCATTCTGTGTGATTTATTAGCTTGTTTACCCGTGGGGACCTCAATTTAGGTGACATGAGTCCCCGTGAGTCTGTCTGTATTCAGGTTTAAGTCCCCACCAGAATAGAAAAACAGGTACACTCACACACACACACACACACACACACACACACACACACATCAAAAAACTCAAAAAACTTAATTCTGTGTGATTTATTAGCTTGTTTACCCGTGGGGACCTCAATTTAGGTGACATGAGTCCCCATGAGTCTGTCTGTATTCAGGTTTAAGTCCCCACCAGAATAGAAAAACAGGTACACTCACACACACACACACGCTCTCACACACACACACACGCTCTCACACACACACACACGCTCTCACACACACACACACGCTCTCACACACACACACACGCTCTCACACACACACACACGCTCTCACACACACACACACACACACACACACTCTCTCTCTCTCGATCTATCTATCTGTAAGGCCTATAAATCTTCAATCTTAAGACCTTTTAAATTTAACTTTTTGAATTTCTTTGAATCCTAATTCATTTTAATTCCACTCCCTTACATTGAACTACAAATTCCATTCTACGTCATGTTTGCTACGTCGGTTCACATTCAGGATTGAGGAGTCTGAATGAACTCCTGATGAGCGGGACTGACCGGCAGGAGACGCACTCAGACGAACCGCACACATGAGGAGCGGCAGATACTGGAGTGATGTGTGTGATCCGCGAGGAAACGGAGGAAGACTCCACATCACTGATGAAGATGTAATGCTCATCGCTCCCATCAATCACCGGCTGTTAACAAAACCACACACAGACGACAGCTGTAAGTCACTGCGGAGGAAAACATCTACATAAACATACATGAGGAGAATCCATCATATATATACTGTATATATATATGTGTGTGACATTATAACAGCCTGTAGCAGCACACGCATGTCTGACCTGGTGACTGACCGCTCGTGTGGTCAGTGTGTGTGTCTGCTCTGAACAATGGCCTTGTTGAACAGGAAACCTGCAGAGAATCAATGCGTCAGTCTCATGACAAAAACACTAGATGAGCAGATGAAGATGATTTATTTGCATTATGGCGTTATTTCAACAGTCTTAGTCATTATAGTTCAGGGCCTAAAACAGACTTCATTTTCCTTTTGTAAAGTACAGTAAATTGAAATTATTGTTTTTCTTTGAGGTGAACCAAAATATAACAATAAAAATACAAAAGCTGCCATTAATAGGCATTTCAGATTAAATATGCTGATGACTTTAATGTTAAAATTACTTGATATTGAGACACAAAACACATTCACAGAGCAGATATTAATTTAACGGAGCTTCCCGATTCAGCAGTGAATGTTATTCATACACAGTGCTTCCTGTTACTCGTCTCTGTGAATCCAAAGTTCATCATATACAGATACACGTGTCACAATCACACACACACAGAATATCACTCACACACACACACACACACAGAATATCACTCACACACACACAGAATATCACTCACACAGAATATCACTCACACACGCACACAGAATATCACTCTCACACACACACAGAATATCACTCACACACACACAGAATATCACTCACACAGAATATCACTCACACACGCACACAGAATATCACTCTCACACACACACAGAATATCACTCACACACACACAGAATATCACTCACACAGAATATCACTCACACACGCACACAGAATATCACTCTCACACACACACAGAATATCACTCACACACACACAGAATATCACTCACACAGAATATCACTCACACACGCACACAGAATATCACTCTCACACACACACAGAATATCACTCACACACACACAGAATATCACTCACACAGAATATCACTCACACACGCACACAGAATATCACTCTCACACACACACAGAATATCACTCACACACACACAGAATATCACTCACACAGAATATCACTCACACACGCACACAGAATATCACTCTCACACACACACAGAATATCACTCACACACACACAGAATATCACTCACACAGAATATCACTCACACACGCACACAGAATATCACTCTCACACACACACAGAATATCACTCACACACACACAGAATATCACTCACACAGAATATCACTCACACACGCACACAGAATATCACTCTCACACACACACAGAATATCACTCACACACACACAGAATATCACTCACACAGAATATCACTCACACACGCACACAGAATATCACTCTCACACACACACAGAATATCACTCACACACACACAGAATATCACTCACACAGAATATCACTCACACACGCACACAGAATATCACTCTCACACACACACAGAATATCACTCACACACACACAGAATATCACTCACACAGAATATCACTCACACACGCACACAGAATATCACTCTCACACACACACAGAATATCACTCACACACACACAGAATATCACTCACACAGAATATCACTCACACACGCACACAGAATATCACTCTCACACACACACAGAATATCACTCACACACACACAGAATATCACTCACACAGAATATCACTCACACACGCACACAGAATATCACTCTCACACACACACAGAATATCACTCACACACACACAGAATATCACTCACACAGAATATCACTCACACACGCACACAGAATATCACTCTCACACACACACAGAATATCACTCACACACACACAGAATATCACTCACACAGAATATCACTCACACACGCACACAGAATATCACTCTCACACACACACAGAATATCACTCACACACACACAGAATATCACTCACACAGAATATCACTCACACACGCACACAGAATATCACTCTCACACACACACAGAATATCACTCACACACACACAGAATATCACTCACACAGAATATCACTCACACACGCACACAGAATATCACTCTCACACACACACAGAATATCACTCACACACACACAGAATATCACTCACACAGAATATCACTCACACACGCACACAGAATATCACTCTCACACACACACAGAATATCACTCACACACACACAGAATATCACTCACACAGAATATCACTCACACACGCACACAGAATATCACTCTCACACACACACAGAATATCACTCACACACACACAGAATATCACTCACACAGAATATCACTCACACACGCACACAGAATATCACTCTCACACACACACAGAATATCACTCACACACACACAGAATATCACTCACACAGAATATCACTCACACACGCACACAGAATATCACTCTCACACACACACAGAATATCACTCACACACACACAGAATATCACTCACACAGAATATCACTCACACACGCACACAGAATATCACTCTCACACACACACAGAATATCACTCACACACACACAGAATATCACTCACACAGAATATCACTCACACACGCACACAGAATATCACTCTCACACACACACAGAATATCACTCACACACACACAGAATATCACTCACACAGAATATCACTCACACACGCACACAGAATATCACTCTCACACACACACAGAATATCACTCACACACACACAGAATATCACTCACACAGAATATCACTCACACACGCACACAGAATATCACTCTCACACACACACAGAATATCACTCACACACACACAGAATATCACTCACACAGAATATCACTCACACACGCACACAGAATATCACTCTCACACACACACAGAATATCACTCACACACACACAGAATATCACTCACACAGAATATCACTCACACACGCACACAGAATATCACTCTCACACACACACAGAATATCACTCACACACACACAGAATATCACTCACACAGAATATCACTCACACACGCACACAGAATATCACTCTCACACACACACAGAATATCACTCACACACACACAGAATATCACTCACACAGAATATCACTCACACACGCACACAGAATATCACTCTCACACACACACAGAATATCACTCACACACACACAGAATATCACTCACACAGAATATCACTCACACACGCACACAGAATATCACTCTCACACACACACAGAATATCACTCACACACACACAGAATATCACTCACACAGAATATCACTCACACACGCACACAGAATATCACTCTCACACACACACAGAATATCACTCACACACACACAGAATATCACTCACACAGAATATCACTCACACACGCACACAGAATATCACTCTCACACACACACAGAATATCACTCACACACACACAGAATATCACTCACACAGAATATCACTCACACACGCACACAGAATATCACTCTCACACACACACAGAATATCACTCACACACACACAGAATATCACTCACACAGAATATCACTCACACACGCACACAGAATATCACTCTCACACACACACAGAATATCACTCACACACACACAGAATATCACTCACACAGAATATCACTCACACACGCACACAGAATATCACTCTCACACACACACAGAATATCACTCACACACACACAGAATATCACTCACACAGAATATCACTCACACACGCACACAGAATATCACTCTCACACACACACAGAATATCACTCACACACACACAGAATATCACTCACACAGAATATCACTCACACACGCACACAGAATATCACTCTCACACACACACAGAATATCACTCACACACACACAGAATATCACTCACACAGAATATCACTCACACACGCACACAGAATATCACTCTCACACACACACAGAATATCACTCACACACACACAGAATATCACTCACACAGAATATCACTCACACACGCACACAGAATATCACTCTCACACACACACAGAATATCACTCACACACACACAGAATATCACTCACACAGAATATCACTCACACACGCACACAGAATATCACTCTCACACACACACAGAATATCACTCACACACACACAGAATATCACTCACACAGAATATCACTCACACACGCACACAGAATATCACTCTCACACACACACAGAATATCACTCACACACACACAGAATATCACTCACACAGAATATCACTCACACACGCACACAGAATATCACTCTCACACACACACAGAATATCACTCACACACACACAGAATATCACTCACACAGAATATCACTCACACACGCACACAGAATATCACTCTCACACACACACAGAATATCACTCACACACACACAGAATATCACTCACACAGAATATCACTCACACACGCACACAGAATATCACTCTCACACACACACAGAATATCACTCACACACACACAGAATATCACTCACACAGAATATCACTCACACACGCACACAGAATATCACTCTCACACACACACAGAATATCACTCACACACACACAGAATATCACTCACACAGAATATCACTCACACACGCACACAGAATATCACTCTCACACACACACAGAATATCACTCACACACACACAGAATATCACTCACACAGAATATCACTCACACACGCACACAGAATATCACTCTCACACACACACAGAATATCACTCACACACACACAGAATATCACTCACACAGAATATCACTCACACACGCACACAGAATATCACTCTCACACACACACAGAATATCACTCACACACACACAGAATATCACTCACACAGAATATCACTCACACACGCACACAGAATATCACTCTCACACACACACACACACACACACACACACAGAATATCACTCACACACACACAGAATATCACTCACACAGAATATCACTCACACACGCACACAGAATATCACTCTCACACACACACACACACACATACACATACACAAGCAGGTGTTGTGATAGAAACCACGCACTGAATGGCTACCATATTCATCTACTATGTTATTTAAAGTGTAGCATGGCATTATTTGAAGTTCTTTTGATCACGTGTCCGAAAGAGCTCACTCTATTAGTTGTGTATTACATAAACACAGAATATAAACACAACGCTTCATGAGCTGCGATGGTTAAATGAACTCAAGAGTAAAGAAACAAATCTGCGGCCTGTCTGTCTAACTCTACTGATGATCATACACATTCATAAACATAATCAGATTATATTCGCCAGTGAATCAGTGACGCACCAGTAGCAGAGTCCCGACACCGAGCACAGCAGCAGCAGCGGGGTCTTCATCCTCCACCGGCCGAGAGACGCATCGCTCCGCCGTGTGTTTGCTTCGCGCTCCTCAAACGACCAGAAACGACGAACGACGACAAACGATCGCGATAATAAACGACGCGTCGCCCGCGACACGATGGACTTTACACCGACCGCGCAGCTGCATCTCACACACACGCTGTTCGTCTAATGCGAGGCGTCAATAAACTACACATCATTATCATTTAGTGCCTGAAATACAAATGAAGATCCGCCTCAGTCTCTATAAAACGATGAGAGATGCCTGATTAATCATCTTCCCCAGCGCTGAGGAAAATAACAAGCATCACGTGACCGCAGTCAAAGCGCTGCTTCGTTAGCCTGTGGGAAATATTCTAGAGCTAAACAATGATACTAACACAACTGAAAACACAGTCCAGACCCTAAAAGAACTGGAGAAATATTATTTCAAACCCATCGTACACACCAACTGTCCCGCCCATTTCAGATGCGCTTTCGCGCTTCCTGTTTTTCCGGTTCTCTTCCGGTTACTGGCGGAATGACGTCACCGGCTCTCTCGCTATGTGCTGTTAGCGTCTGTTTTGCTAATGTATTAGCATAGCTTAGTGATCTATTTCTACTTTAACCAGTATGAAATTAGTGCCTATTAACGTATATGGCTTAATATAATGTACCATGTTTTAGTATCATCATCATCACCACTACCATAACATCTTTTTCTTTGAATTGCAGTTCAACAAATTCAAAATATCACTTAAAAAGTTTGAAAAAGACACTTATGAATGTCACACTACAATATTAAATATTAAATCATAGAGTTTCATTGGTACTACAATAACATCTAGTGATTTTTTTAAAGTCTCCTCTCAGTTATTATTCATTGATCTTTATAATTATGGCTTCCGATTTGGTACTGAAGTCAACATTTGGTGTTACGTTGGTGTGATAATTTAATAATTTAGTATGTTCTGAGGTTTACTTGCACTGTAAACCTAAATAAAAATGTGAGGTAGTCAGTTCCCTATCGAAACGGTCTCTCACATTGCATTTATCACACTTGGGGAAACTCCATTCACCTCAGAATACTGAAACACCATTTAATATTTGTGCAGCTGCATTTCACCAGAATCTTTCTGCTTTCTCCTCGCGAACGAAGAAGCCTTGCCGCTTTCGCCTCCAGGTGGCCCTTCGCTGTCTCGGCTCTGGCCCCTTGCTTGTATCAGACAGGTGTCCGATTGCGACTGACCTCCAGATGCCTGAACACTCGGGTTGGCTGAGGGCAGACCAGTGTCCGGCTCCTGGTCCAGCCTTGAGCAATGCCTGCACATCAACTGTCTCGAGATGATGGCAGTATTTCACCAGTCCTCAAAACCCTCCTGCCAGCCTTGAAGGGGTACCTCCTCGTCCGTCCGACAGCATGACAGTGGTGGCCTTCATAAACCCTCCAGGGCAGCCGCAGGTCGTTGTCTCTTACAAAATGGCAAGACACCTCCTCCTCTGGGCTCCTTGAGGACAGTGCTGGCCCACAGATGGCCCAAGATCCGCCTGTACACCTTTCCCCCAGGCGCTCTGCTCTCTCAGGTCAGCAGACAGATCAACGAGACCGGATGCTCAGTGCTACCAGTGGCTCCACTCTGGCCAAACCAGTCGTGGTTCCCCGACCGGATACAGCTGAGGAAAGTCCTACTCTCTCAAGCGAGAGGTTCCCTGCTGCATGCCTTTGCAGCTCCTCGTGAAGGTAGACAAAACTATAGCAACCATTCTGTCCTTGTTACAAGAGCTGCTGGATAAGGGGTGCATATGTGATGGCTATCACCACGTCCTCGTGTCTGTAGGAAGAAACGACCTGGTCATCAAGTTCTTGAGGGGAGCCAGGAGACTCAACCCGTCTCGCCCTCACACTGTTCCTACTTGGGACCTGTCTACGGTCCTCAGGCCCTCCGTTTGAGCCACTCAAAGCGGCTGACTTACGGCCCCTGGTGCTTAAGACCGCCCTGCTGCTAGCTTTGCTCAGTGAGCACTACCTTCTAGAGCTTGGGTCAAATGACTGTAAGGTCGTCCTCAAACCCAAGCTAGGTTACATACCTAGAGTGCTCTCTACTCCATTCAAGCACGCAGGTCATCACTTAGAAAAATGTTCATTTTGTAGATGAACCTCTGAAGAACAGACACGTGTCAGGAGTTATTTTCAGATCAGTCTATTCTCAAATCAAAATGTTATGAGCGACTGAAATTAGCAGAACAGCTTCTTTGTGAAAAACATGAAACAGAAAACTGGGCTTTTAAAAGAAAGTTTATATCACCGTCCACATGAAGCAAACAGGAATTAGACACTGCAAATTCTCATTTGATTTTATTTTCCATAATCGATTTCATTTCATACATATAGAGGTGCAGTACATCAAGCCATAATGAAACACAGAAAGAGTGAGATGCTCCTGTTATTTCCTAACGCTCAAATCTAGACTCGTCCCACCGCTGTTTTTCACCACACTTAAAACTATTCTACTTTCTGTTGGAAGAGCTTCTGAGAACACATTTCTGAAGAGTAAATAAACAGCTAAAGCACATTTTCCAGCATTCATTTTCAATACCATCATATGAATATATTATTTTAATGTGTAACTGCTGTTTAAACCTCAGATCTGCTCTTGAACAAGCGCTAGTCTCATCAGCTCACTGACAAAGGAAAAGTTTCAAAATACTTCATTTGTGCATAGCTATAGTCTGAGTGACTAACAGTAAGAACACAAACACCCGTCTGATGAACAGAAGTCAGAGAGAGATGTTTCTTAAGAATAAAGTGAGTGTTCATCTCACCGTCATGATGCTCTAGCTGCAGGTTTCTAAGCTGATCTGAGTTGTTTTTAGCATGTAACTCTCAGTATAACATGTTCAGCTTCCCTTGCAGTCTTGAGTTCAGCATTCATTGATTCAGATGCTGCGGTCATGAGAAATCCTGCTTCATTCAGTCTCTGTCCCTGCTCTCTAGCTCCCGTGTGTTTATGGGAGTAAACAGCAGCTAGTTTCATCCCTTCACAGGGCAGTTTAAATGTCATCAGACTATTAAATTTAATACTGCATGACACACCATTACATCCATTTGAACACGCCTCTGATTCACAAACATCCATATATTCATGTTTTTAATAATGAACGTAAAAATACATCAGCGTTTCCCAAGAGTCCCTGCATACTTCTTACATTCCTTATTTAGTCCTTTTTAGGAATGCTATAATATTATTTTCAAATGAAGAGTTTGTCTTGTAATTACTTAACATGAGTACAGTAAATGAACATCATCAATGCTTAAATATCACTAATCCAATGAACAGACCGATAGAAACGACACGAAACTACTGTCAGATTTATTGCAAAGTAATGGGATGATGTTCTGGATAATTGTGTTGTATTTATCTGAAACACATACAGTACATAGAGTTGATTTTCTACACAGCAGAACAGGTGTATACTGTAGTTCCAGGGACTTTGGATTAACTGTCATCAGCTAGTATGGCAAGCAGGTGGCGCTATTCAAGAAGATGAATATATTTCATATTTTGGTGCTCATATAAGTGTTTGCAGACAATGACGACTACAGATGTAACAACAAAACAGGCAAAACGGATGTTCACAACTAAGAGAAATAAAGTTCTCTGAGCATTTTTAATGACAAACAACATTAAGAAATAAAAACATTAATAATTTAAATGTCAAAACACAAATATCACATAACCTTCAACTATTTTACACGTTTATCTTTTAATTTAGCCACAAACACACACACACACACACACACACACACACACACACACACACACACACTTCCCAGCTTACACTAAGATATATCGCTCACATACTATGGTATAATGTGACAGAAGTATGTGGACACGCTTATCAACAGCCTAAAATAAACAAACATGCATCGCTAGAAACATCAATGCAGTGCTGCACGCTTTAAGGAATGGGAAGCACAGCACTACCACGAACGATTCACTACAGAACAGAGAGGTTTGGGTGAAGACTAGAAGAGGATCGCATGGATGAGACTCCACGTCTGAACCAGACTGAACCACAGGCACTGACAAACAACACACAACCAGCACTGCTATCAAAGACACCAGCACACGAGAAGGGAAGCATCACTGGGACATGCAGGGATTCAGAGCTTTGGTACGGGACACACATGAGAACGCTCTGGAAAAACAGCCTCTTAAGGGGGAACCTGTCTGGTCGGGGAAGGTGGAGGACGACGGCTGTGTTAGAAGAAGAAGAAGAAGAAGAAGAAGAAGAAAGTGGTGCATGAGAGCAGAAGCGTTGAGGAAGGCAATGGATGGTGGGGCGAGAGACAAAAAGACAGAATTAGTATCTGTAAGCAGTGTAGCATTATAAGACACGTTATTTGCTGACTTGTTAATATATATATATATATATATATATGTGGTCACATGAATGTTGCTCTAGTACTGGAATTGCACTTTAGTGTTCTCATGAAAACTGGTGCTACTAGTGTAGTGCATGATTGTAGCACGTCTAACAAAGGTATGAAAACGGACGAGACACGAGTGTGAACACCGGTGTAAACGTAGCTACACAAGCCTGGTTTCATGCATCGTTACATTTGTCAAAACACAATTCATAAGACAAGTATGTACTGCACTCTCTGCATTGCCTCCAGGTTTGCTATAGTGAGCATTAGTGTAAAATCTCTTCTTCTCCATCAGCTCAACCGGTAACACTTTATTTCGATAGTCCACTTTAGACATTCTATTAACAGTAAGTAACTTTGCAACTACATGTCAACTAGCAGTTAGTAGAGTATTAGTAGACTGTCTGCTTAATATCTTCTAACACTTTCTTTGTCAACTTATTCTACTAACCCTAAACCTACCCTTACAGTCTACTCCGAGCGTTAGTAGACATGTAGTTGCAAATTAATGAGAATTAGTTGACATGTAGTTGACATGTAGTTACAAAGTTACTTATAGTTAGTAGAATGTCTAAAGTGGACTATCGAAATAAAGTGTAACCGCTCAACCAATACTGAGCAAGATTTTTAGAGTTAGGGTTAAGTTTATATCTAACTACCTGAATAATAACACATCTGACTTAATGACATTCGCAAGAAACTTCCTTTTACTATCGAGCTTTGTTTACGCCACAGTTGGACTATATTGTACAGTATGTGCACTTATGTGTACTTGCCAAAGAAAGTAATGTAATATAAGGTAACTACGTGGGTTAAGGTTAGGTTTAGGGGTAGGTTCAGGGTTAGAACCTAGTTATTACCCAGTTATTTAAATTACTATATCAAGAACATGCAAATAAACTGCACACTTGCAATGCACTGGCCAAGCATTCGAGCATGTGTTTGTGTACCTGCGAGGAATATTTTAATATGACTAGAAATGCATGTAGTAAGTAAAGAGATGAGAGAAGTGAGAGAAAGGCACAGATGAAAGGGCTGGTCTCACCTGGGAATGCTGGGAGGCGCTCGGTTGGGCCGGCTGGGAACCTGTGGGCTGTCTGCGCTGTTATTCAAGGGCCCCAAGGGTCCGGGGCGAGACGGAGGCACAGGAGCACCTCTTCCAGCGGGTCTCTGTCCCGCAGACATCCGGCGCGGAGCCGTGGGGCTCGGAGGAGGAGACCTGCAGAAACCAACAGAGACACTCACAGCAAAGAGAGAGGAGGAACTCAACTCCACAGCAGCAGCAAACTACACAGAACTCCAGACAGAACGGCTTCCACTGGCTTTCTGTCACAGAACAATCTGGCTTCATTCCACAGCTGAAGAACGCAAGCGATTACGGCGTTTGTTGGTCGACCTCCTCACTTCTCACAAGCTCCCATCGAGGCTTTCAAGGATGAAGCAACCAATGAATGAAGCCAGATCCACCCTGAACTGACTGACCACCTGGGAAAGGCCTGATAGTCATAATCAGCCGTTTAGGGTTAACCCTAACCGTTTCTAGTCGTCCGGTTCAGTCTGAAGTGGACATCCATCACACTGCAGTGAGTGATCCTGAGATCTGCAGCTCTGGATCCTCCTGTGCTTTACTCAGATCAGACAGAGAAGAGGTGTTACCTGCGGGAGCCGGCCCCGGCGCTCAGCCAGGAGTTATCCACCGGCGGAGGCAGCGGTGTGGAGATGGTGGTGGTGGAGATGTCGCCGATGATGGCCAGAGCTTCTTTCAGAGCGTGGTGTGTGCGCAGAACCTCCTCGCGCCGCTGCACCTGCTCCTGAGACTCGTCCATCAGAGCGTTCTGATCTCCAGCCGAGTACAGCTGCGCCAGGAGCTCCGCGTTAATGAACTCCTTCACCTGCGGAAGACGACTGATGTTCATTAGTCTGATTATCATGACAACACACTCACTCGTGTCTTTCCTCTGCTGTGGCCTCAAAAATATCTGGACACTTGAGCCACAATTAAAGATGTAAGCATGTCTTTACAGGATTCAACTGCATGCATGGTGTTTATTTTCACGACACAAACACACCCTTTAAAACATTTACAAGTGAAGTTTGTTAGGTTTCATGAATATAAAATAGTGAATTGGACACAGTTTTTGCCAAACGTTGTGTTTGTTGATAGTTAATGCTCTGAAGTACACCTGAGCAGAACTGACCACGAGAGCAGCTGCTGAGAAATGAGTGCGTCACAGAAGTCAAGTTAGGTTTGAGACCAGCTCCAGCATCATTCGAGCGCAGATTCCGTCTGCTTTTACCTTTTATATCTAATGCAATGAAGTTCAGACATTTTTAAGTGTGAATAATGTCCAAACTCTTTTTGGGGCCACTGTACTGTAAATATATATTAGTGCTGTTAAAATTAGCGCGTTAATGCATGTGATTCATTTTTTCAGTTTAACGCGTTAAAATATTTAACGCAATTAACACAGTGAACGTCTTTAAGAGCACATGAAACGGGAGACTTTCAGATGCTGTCAGCCGTTATACTGTGATCGTAGCACATGCTCTTCAATATCACACAAATACATTTTTTAGTGTTTGATAACGTTATTCAATTTCTGTATATTTCCTACTTGCTGAAGGGCACAGGTAAATATGACATTTATTATAATGGGTTTATGTGAAGATTGTTTTAAGCTCATTTAAATTATAAGTTATTTTTTAAAGTCTAATAAATGTTAAAATGGGCAGCTCTCAATTATACTGTAATGTTGAATGGCTAGTCAATGGTTAAATATTAGGAAAAAACACTATTTGCTAGAGACATCAGTAGTATTGGTATCAGTGACGCTCGCCTTCAGTCATTAAAAAAGATGCCATTAAACAAATATTAAAAATATAATGTCTTTATGTGGTTTCTACATTAAGTTGAAGATTGAATGTGAAATTATTGCAATATAAAAGTATATTTAAAAACTTTAATGTTAGGTGGGATTAATCGCGATTAGTTTCAGAAAAAAATGTTAGATTAATTAGTTCATTCTTTTAATTGACTGACAGCTATTTTTTTTATTTTGCGTATCTGACTCAAATATATTTCGTTATTTGTAGTCTGAACAGCAAAATGTTTTGATGTTTACATATTTATCCTGATATAAACCACATCTACATGGGTTTTGAAAATCAATCAAATTTTTGCAAATGCTTTTTAGTTATAGTCTTGTAGTCCGAATCGGATTTCACGACTCGTATATAACACAGTACAAGGTGCAGTACTGTAGTGAACAATAATGCTGATTCTTCTGATGAGCATCTCAGATATAATAGTGTTCAAACGGTCAAATCCTCATCTGTCCTCACAGTCACACAGCATCCTTACGTTATTGATCATCAGATGCATGATGCTCTTGGGCATGAGGTCGCGGATGCATTTGTTGACGATGGCCATGTAGGAGTCCACCAGGTTCCTGATGGTCTCCACCTTCCTCTCCAGCTGAGGATCCATGGAGAAGTTCTCCGACGGACCAGAACTCTCACTCTCCACCTGAGTCCAGGGACACAATCAGACACGTGAGGTGAGAAGGAAGATGGTTCATGCTTCACTTTGAGGGGAATCTCATGTTAGTGGGATGTGAATGACGTGTCACTGACCCCGGCCCTTTCGGGATAAACGCCGGCGCGCAGCAGCGACGCTCTCCAGCTCTCCACCTCCTCCAGAGTGTCACACGCCAGCTCCAAGAAACGGTTGTCCTTGAACACGTTCCTGAGAGAAAGCCAGCCGTCACTCAGATGAAAAGCACTGATCGCTCTCACCTGTGTGTGAAGAACCTGCAGGAATCCTCTCTGAAACTCAGAGTCTGTGTGGTTTCTCAACTATGAGCGGAAATGAAGACTAACCTCATACCGCTAATAACCAAGAAAGTGATTCCACGACATTGTTCCTCTGCGCTGTCAGAGTTGTGATGTGGACATTTCTATCCTCACAGAACTGGAATGATTATTAAAAATTTAAACTTTAAGCGGTGAACGGGTCTTAAGAGTTTCTTATATCCTCTGTTCCTCACGGTGTGGTCTTTGAGAACTGATGACATGAATCAGATCATTTAAAACAGCTCTGACAATTCTATTGAAAACAAAAAGAAAGTGAGAAGTGATTTATTTACCGCTGCTCCGTGTTGAAGATGGCAAACATGTGCTTGCTGGACATGAAGCTTTTCTCCACATCTCTGACCTTCAGATTGTCCAGGGGCAGCATGTACTTCTTCTCTTTCTCCTGCGAGATCCAGACAAAGCCATGCATCAACATGTCAGCACGTTCTTTTCATGATAAACAGACTCCTAATGCAGCATCTTCAGGGAATGAGAGAAAAGCAGTGAAAACAGACCATATATACACTGCTAATCTGAGAGAGAAATGGAAAACGGAGAGTTGGATAAACATGTAAAGATAAAGAAATGATGGTGAAGAGAGACGAGTGCATGTGGAAGTCATGAGATATGTTAGGAGACTGATGAGGAGAACACAAGTTTAAACCAAAACTATCATGCAGAGAAGCGTTAGACTGTTAATGGGTCAATCTCACAACAAACACTTCAAGAAAATATGAAATTACATGTTTATAAAGGAAATTACACTCATTTACATTACTCTAATCATCTTGTCTGAACACAAAGACAGTATGAATAACATTATTCCATAAAGACCTAAACAATATAGAAATTAAAATTTACAACAACAAAAAATGTAAATATGAATGTATGGAATCTTTTCTTTTGTGTGTAAATATGTAATATGTTCACATTACAGTAATGACATTTTTGCAGGGAAATGTTTTCTCTATTTTCAAATGAAAGTGAAACACTAGTGAACTAAAGCGAGCTGCAGCTTCTCCTCTGGGTTTCTGGGTTTCATAAATATGTTCCCCACACTGCCGAGGAGCTGTTTTCTGTCTGACAGAGAGATTCAAGAGCAGGCTGGCACTCGATCTGAACATCTGGAAGCACTTAAGAGCTGTGAGAGAGACACATCAGACCAGCTTCAGCAGCAGACCTCTGGAGAACAGCCCAGGCCAGATGAATGCACAGCGGCGATCATCGGACGGATCGGGGTTACGCTCCTCGAGAGCTGTGAAGAACGTCAGGATCCGGCGCGGGACACAGAGCCTCGTGAAGACGAGCGTCTCGGCGTCTCAGTGTTCAGTCGACCTGTTCATGCTCACACTAGTGTACACTAGTCTGCACACTGCTTAGACGCGGTGAGGAAAAGCCACAGAGCATGTGACGCTTGGGATTTTTCAGGCTTTTCTCCTTGTCTTTGATTTAAGCTGCTTTGGCTTCAGTGCTAGTGAAGAGGACGATCACACACAAACACCAAACACTGGACGACACTCAAAAAACACAGCCGGCACCAAGCTTTTAGCTTCGCCGCACACCAATGTTCATACGAGCTCTGCAATGCTGCGGTTTAGAGCTCAACAAACGTTTCATCCAGTTTTCATCCAACTATTGATGTTCACAGTGCTAAACGTCCTGAACAAATCGACTGTTTGCAGACTTCAGTGACCAAAGCCATGAAACAACTCTAACAGCCTAATTAAAGAAATGCAGCAAACTTCAGTATTAAAGTCACAATAATAAAAGCAGAACACGAGGACGTTTGTTAGTGACAATATCTGATAGTGAGAGTTAAGTTGGTTTGCTTGCATTGGTTTAGAGGAATCTGTCATGACATTAAAAGAATGACAAAGACTAATCAGTACATCTGAACTCGTGAACCACTGAATCATTTCAGACACACTTTCTTCCTCATTCCTGCACGGCTCATGCTGCTGGTGACTGATATCAGTCTGTGTTTTTTAATATTAACCGCACAGGTCGTTGTGTTTTCAGTCATGGGGTGACATGAGGATTTTGGTTTTCATGTGCTGATGGTTTCAGGCTGAATCGCTGAGTTTGAGTTTGAGCTGCTGCAGAGCATGTGAAGGGTTATTAACATCATTAAATAAAGTCATCAATCCCTCTCATTCTTCATACGGAGATGCATTTCAGCATCAGATCGACTCCTGACGCATAAAAGCATCCCATAATGCCAGAGGAGCTCACCTCGTCATCTTTGAACCAGGACAGGCTCTCGGCGGTCAGCACGAACCAGTACTCCTTCGCTCCTCCCTTCATGATGCTGATGTTATTGATGGTCAGCCAGCCCTTACGGATCACCTGACGGAGGAAGAGAGATGCGTCAAACACAAACACACGCTCGGCACAGCAGTGATCAGTGCAGAGTGTGGATGAATGACGTGAAGAATCAGTGTGAGACACGTAACGGTGACGGAGAGCAGACTCGTGATGTTTACACAGCGCTTCACACAATCCACTGCAGGACTAACATCTGAAATCAGCATGCTATTTAAACTTGCATTAAACAAGTATGCCTTTTTACTCCCCGGCGTCTGGCAAATAACAAGAAAACATTTCAGTTCTCTAGCTGTACAGCGTGAACACAGTGCACTATATAGGGCACAGGAGCCGATGTGAGACAGTGACGGTTCATTCCCACTGAATGAATGATGTAATGACTCAAACAGTCACTAACTGCAGTCAGTGTAAAACCCCTCCACTAACACACAGACGAGTGACAATCAGTGCATCTGTTAAATCAGCGCCGTTAGACGAGCTCAGGTCGACCAATCCACTAACTGCTGCATAATACATTCAAACATTAATGATAAAATGTTCATTAAACTCTTCTAGTCCTGACAGATCATTCATATGCAACATTAATGATGACGGAGCTGCGCTGTGATTGGATGAAAAGCTCAAAGCTGTTACTCTATGCAGTATCAGCCAATCAGCATCCAGGATTACAGCTGTCTGTTTTATCATTATCATTACTGAATGTAGTTTATTTATTGTTGCAAGACATTCATTAATAAGGTAGTTATTAACAGCAGGTGTCTCCAGCATGCGTGATCATGCGTCCCTCTGAAGCTATAATCATTACACACAGAATCAGTGCAGTGCTCGGTGTTCGCTAGCAAACAAGCGTGCTCTATAGGGACTGATGGATGTTTTCAGGCTGATGGTCACCTCTGTTTCTGCCTCGATTGCTCAGTTTGGCCGGGTGATCAGCTCTAGGAGAGTTCTGCTTGTTCCAAACCCCTTCCATTATGATTTACAGATGCTATGGGCTCTTGGGATCTTTTGTAGTTTTCTCCAGATCTGTGCTTTAACTCAATCCTGTCTTCCTTTGACCTCAACGCTTGATTTTTTTCAGCTGTCAGTCCTTATATAGACATTGTGTCTTTCCAAATCATGTCCAATCAATCAAATTTGCCACAGATTTACTCCAATCAAAGAGTAGAAAAACCTCAAAGATGAGCCACAGAAATGGATTCACCTGAACTAAACCTCACGTGTTATAGCACAGGGCCTGAATACTTATGACAACGTGATCTTTTAACACATTTTGCTTCATCGTGTGGCATGGAGTGTACATGCGGAAAAAATTAGAGTATTTGAGAATAAGGCTGCAAGAAAACAAAATGTGAAAAATGAAAAGTTTGAATCCTTTCTGAATCCAGTGTGAGAAAGACTTAAAGGGACAGTTCACACAAAAATGAAAATCACCCCATGATTTACTCACCCTCAAGTCATCCTAGGTGTATATGACTTTCTTCTTTCAGACGAATCCAATCGGAGTTATATAAAAAAATGTCCTGGCTCTTCCAAGCTTTATAATGGCAGTGAATGGGTGTTGAGATTTTGAAGCCCAATAAAGCTCATCCATCCGTAATAAAAAGTGTCTCACACGGCTCCGGGGGGTGAATAAAGGCCTCCTGTAGCGAAGCGATGTGTTTGTGTAAGAAAAATATCCATATTTAAAACTTTATAAACCGTAATCTCTAGCTTCCACTTACTGTTGTACGGATGACGTAGGCATAGCATAAACTCCGGTGAGAATATGCTCGTCTCGCGAGAACCGACGTTTGTTTACACGAGCAAAGGAAGCAAAGTTACTTTAGCAAAGGAAAACCAGTCTCCTCTTGGCTTATATCGAAATCCTTCCACATTTCTCTTTACAAATCCTCGTTTTGTGCTTCTAATTCGTAACCGGTGTTGTGTTTTGCTCTCTCCGCTGCGCTTCTGCATTCGTCACTTCTCACCGGAGCTTACACTACATCATCTGCCAGAACGACAGTTAGTGGAAGCTAGAGAAAAGTGATTATAACGTTTTAAATATGGATATGTTTCTTACAAGAACACACCGATTCGCTGCAGGAGGCCTTTATTCACCTCCGAAGCCATGTGAGGCACTTTTTATTACAGATGGATGAGCTTTATTGGACTTCTTTTGGACTGTTGAAAAATAACACCCATTCACTGCCATTATAAAGCTTGGAAGAGCCAGGATATTTTTTAATATAACTGATTTTATTCGTCTGAAAGAAGAAAGTCATATACAGCAAGGATGGCTTGAGGGTGAGTAAATCATGGGTTAATTTACTTTTTGGCTGAACTACCCCTTTAAAGTCACACAGATCTGAAGAAACTATCCTCTGGTTCATGCAGTGAACTGAACTACATATACTGCTCCATCACCTCAGTGCATTTAGTTACACACATAAACCTGACGTCTTACAATTATTCCAGAGGCTGGAGGAGATGAGGCCTGAAGAAACACACAAACACACACAATTTTATGCTCAAGATCCCCTTAATTAAAGCCAATCAGCACTCATGGATCACTGGATCCTCCAAACGTTCTTCTCTCATCAGTGCACCACGACACTAACTTCACCACACTACGCTGAGTATAAAGTATAAAAAGTGAAAGTAACGATTGCTTGTGTTTCACTAAGAATGTTTAATGAATAATTAAACATGCAGACCTGAGCCACAAATACAGCAAACTGAGGCTGAACCCTGTCAGACGAGCTTCTGCAGACAATAAAATAACCCTGACTGATCGCTCGGGTCAAGTCTCCTCAAACTTTCTGCTGCAGGATTTCATTTCTCACAGCAAACACGCTCCCAAACTAAACGTCTGTCCTATGTTTCTGAGGGTGTTGTTTTTCCAGGTGTAAAGACACGATCTGTGAACAGCCCCTAACTGCTGCACTGCAACATTTCCACTTTGGGTGTGTAGTGTTTTTCAGTAATTCTGTGTTAATGTTGCCATGATCTGAAGCGTGTGCCAGTTACACTTCGGTTTGGCATTATTTGTCAATAATTCAGCAGTCCGTAGTCAATTATTCGGTTCATGTTTCCTCACCTCAAGACAGATTGCTCAGATGTTTCATTTCAAGACCTATGTCAGGTTTCTACTTTCTTACACAGAACTTCAGAAAACCAACTAAAGACCAACTGATTAAAAATGAGTTCTAAGAAAGGCTTGAGCGTGATTTGAGCACAGATGCTACACTGGGTTGATATTTTGTGTCTAATGCAATGAAATTCACACATTTTTGTGTCTACAAGAGCCCAAATGCCGTAGGCTATGCTGTGTGTGGCATCAATACAATAAAACAGAACTATTCTCACGAATGAAGAGGTTTACATCAAAACTATGCTTGTCCACAGTTAAAAACACGACCAGTCCAGTGTTCTGCTAGAGAAAGAGCCATGGAAATGAGAAAAATAATGCAAAGGTGACATGTCGCATGTTACGTAAAGCAATGAGGAAACATGAAGTATATACATAAGTATAAACATAAACATAAAATATATAAAGTATAAACATAAACACAAAACAAAGTATAAACATAAGTTCCTGAATGTTTGACAGGTTCTGTTGTTAGGATGCATGAACAGAGGAGTTTCTATCTGTCATCAGTGTGTGTTGAGACAGAGTCAGTCTGACACTGATGAGACAGGAGTGATGGAGAGAGACACGGATATGAGAGGCTCTTACCTGGAGCTCCTGAGCCAAACACAACAGCACATCATGCAGGAGCCGCTCGCGCACACAGGAGGATAGTGAAGAGAACATGACACACGTGTGTGAGAACAGAAACACAACTCAACATGTCCATAACACATGGACATACTGACAAACACAAGAACTACTGAGTAATAAAGTGAGGGCAGTAAAAGCAGAGCAGAAAGAAAGTCAAAGCCATGTAAAATTACCAAAAACAAAGAAATAGCATTGATGTCTGGAGTGCCATAAACATAGACGGCCTTCACAAACACCAACACACTGACCTGATTCCCTGCAGAGCTCTTCTTATTCGCCTGACTGCTGCGCTGCTGAGCACTGAGAGACA